AAAAAAAAAAAAAAAAAAAAAAATTGTGAGATTTACATGGTAAAAAAGAGAACAAGATGTTTTACTATAATGATATAGTAAAAAAGAAAAACAAAAAACCGAAAACCTCATTTGTTGTCTGAACATTCACATTAGATGATTCATGAAAATGCTACAGACAGAATAAGGAAAATAAAATATTACATAATGTGGTACATGCTTATTTTAAATATAATTGTTAATATATTTGTTCACAATCAAATATGTAATAGATTATAAAAAACCGTCTCTTTTCCAGCTGATTTGTGGATACTATCATCTGGCATTCCACTTCCACGAAGATCTTCACTCGTGTTCCCTTTGACGACATGTTCCTCTTCACTTGAAACACCCTAAGTTGTCAAGGGACATGTGATCAGTTTAAACATATACTTTAAAATAAAAGAACATCTCTGATGTTTATATATATGGTATATATGACCACATATTATCTGATGACCGACTATAAAAAAAAACTCATAACATGCTTGCACTGTAAAAAAAATAGGTATGTGTACAGGAATATATAACTTAGATATACTAGAATATTATTAGGGACTTGCACAGAAACATGGGACAAATGGGTCTTAACAAAAAAATATCCTAGAATATAATTTTGATATACCTAAATATATCTTTGATATATTAAAAGGAACTTCCACATGAACAGGGGACCAGTGGGGCTCTATATAAAAAACATATAATCTGACCATGTCAAAGAAGCAATGAAAATACTTAAGTGTATATAACCACGAATATAGTAGATTAGCAGCACAAATATAGTTAAAAAAAAAAGAAAAAAGGAGAATAATGACTTACTAAAAATTTTTCTTTAAACAAAGCAAATTCCTCGAAAACCCGTCTCGAGAAGTCATTGAATGCTTCCTTCAGGGTCTGGACTTCAGCAGTTAGTGTGTCGAGGCGGGTTATAACATAATCTTCATTGGTATGTTGCGGTGCGGAACTTGATGGAGTAGTTTTTCGGGTGAACTCATTTCTTTTTGTGAAGAATGATTCCAACAAAAGGTTTTGTTTTTCGGCCTCGGTAGGAGCTATGTTATTGAACTGTTGGAAGGAAAAAGAAAAAATGTATTATTCCAGCAGATATAAAAAAAATAATAATAAAAATAAAACATTATTATTTACCTTAGTGTGATAAAGGTTAGAAAAGGTTCTCTGTACAAAACTACGCGTACAAGGTTCACGAACTTCCCACTTGATTATCCTCGGGATATCGTGTACACCCACGTTGGTTGCGACTACACCATCAGCCGTTTCACATACCTCGTAAAACCATGTCTGGAGAGCCAATATAAGACCATATAACCGATACAGGTTGCTTCCCTCGTCGTTGTCAGACATGTGCATCTGCTCTCTAGTTTGAATTGATTTCTTCAGGTACAGTAGGGTGAATTGAAAAACAGCAGTTCCCCACGAGTAATCATCACACTCTGGACTGTCAATCATGTCAACGAAACAGCGGTCTATGCGAAGGGCATCTTGAGAGCCCATGAGGAAATTTGCTAAGAAATGCAACTTAGCAAATTTCACAGCATCTTCATCGCTCGCCCACAATTTTTTCAGAAACTGCCATCTGATGTGGCTCCGAGTTAATCCAAGACCAGCAAAATACTTGTCGTGCAGACCATTGGCAATCTTTGGAATGTTCAGTTTCTTACTAAGTTCATTGCACTTTAACCCAGTCACGACAGCAAATTCCTCTATACCAAATCGGAGGAATTTCCCTCCAAAGTCAAACCAGATCTCATCTGTCCTACCTTGATGAACCTCGCGTAAAAGTATGTAGTTTACCAGCTGGTTCTGGACAATGCAATGTGGCAGATCAAGGAACTTCCCAAAAGCTGACATTCTAAAAGCTTCCAATTGCTCCTTCGTCAACGTTTTCTTGATGTCACTTATCGTGCATTTCTCTTTGTTGTTGTCGTTACTGTTTTGCACCTTCACATTTATATCCCTTGGATAAGGGATTAGCAATTCCCACTCCTGAAAATAATCAAAACAAATAAATATAGATTTTTTTATACACGATAATGTAGAATACTAACATATACTGATCATATTGTTCAAAACTGTTCCACAGATTAATAGCATATGTCTAATGATGTTTTACACTTGAGTGAGTATATATATTGTATATGTCTGTGATAAATATACAACATACTTGTCCAAAAACAAATTCCATATACTTGACATATAATAAGCCAAACCTATTCTGCTTATGAGTTTTTTATGTCCTCTGAAATTATCAAGGTTCATTCTTGGAGAAAGAGGATGAAATTGAATATGGAAAAAATGGGAACACATACATATAACAAATATATACTCTGTTTTGAAAATAATCATACATTCATCGTCTGCTTAACAGTTTTCAAGAATGATTAATATATTAATCAGATATATACACTACATAGAGTATATGTTTGTTATATGTCTTATGTACATATACCACATAATTGTCAAAACTCATATCAGGTAATGACTTAAAAAAAGGAGCAGCAATGGAATTACAAAATTATAACTAGAAGATTGAACGGATCAGCACACTAAATAAATGAAAAAAAGCACACACTAGTCATTTTCATCTAACAGTGTGACAAAAACATGACAAAATTATAACAAAAAAAGTCAAAAACATAAAAAAATCATCAGATTAGGGCTACAGAAACAGGATTATTTATTCAACGACCAGTGTGATGACAATGAAAAAAATTACCTTAAACACTATCTGCTTCTGAATGCGTTTCACGCCTGGGTTTGGTTTTCTCCTTTTCTTGTTCAGATTTACTTCCCCTTTCTCTTTTTGAATCCTTTTTTTGTTTCTTTTGTTGAAATTTTCCACCGGGGATTCCTCTTCCCTCGAGTATTCTTCACTAGAGACGTCTTCTGGTTGAATTTCATCTTCAAAATCGGAGTTGGAAGAATTACCCTTCTCAGTGGAATTGGGGATTTTGGATTTAGGGTACTGCCGTATGTTTTTGGGATTTTTACGGCCGTGGTCGGACTGGAAGTCATCTGAATCAGAGGATGGAACTTGCTTCTTCATACTTGCGTTGGTGGTGGACTTGCGACTAGGGTTAGGGTTCATTTTTTTCTCAAAAACAAGCTTCTTCTGAACGAGTTTGGGCTTTGATTTTGAAATGATATTCCGAAGCCGGGAACTTGACCTTATCTGCGGTGTTTCTTTGCCGTCGTTCGCCATTTTTCTTCGAGTCTGGCGGGCGATTTTGGTTATCGCCATAGACGGGAGTTTTTTTTTTTCTTCTGCAAAATACTCTTTTCCCGAATTGTCGCAAGATAAAATGAAACGTCCTTATCGGTGTAATCTTCATTAATTATCAGAAAATAACTGCAACACCAGTAGTTTAGGTAAATTAGCAATATTTTATAATATTTTTGGTGATTGTGTAATTATTTAACTAATGGTGGTATATTTATAATATCTTAGGGAAGAGGAAGTATAGGATGTAATTTCCTCTAAAAAATAATGAGAAAATTACCTCTTGTACGGACCCATTTTTTTAAACTGCCTATTTAACGTGATTAAAATAATTTTCGCACATCAAATATTCTTAGGTCACAGTTACGAGATTATCAAAAGTTTAATTCCACTTTTCTGCAGCTAATTAATTACTATTAATTATCATTAATAAAGCTGTAAGATTTATCGAGATTCTGAATCGCCTCCTTCCCAAACACTCAACCTTCACACACGCATATCAAAAAATTGCAGTCGAATTGATGATGACCTTTTTCTCATCTTCTGTAATTTGTTCGAAACAAATCTCGATCTAGATGGCGAAAGTTAAGGATGAGAATTATGTCTCTGAGTCTTCATCTGAAGGCAAAGGTAGTTTGGAGCAAAACAATCGGAAATTTCAAGTTCAGTGTCGTCGAAGGCTTGTTCAAAAGAAAATTCAGTTTGACAAGAAGAATCAGCAGACCAAAGGCTATGGAGAACACTCGCATGTCAGATGCCCGATAACTCGTTCTAGTGCTCAGAAGAAGCGATTTTCTCAGAAGAAGGCTATGGAGCTAAACGAAGATGCTAAGGGGAAGAAGAAGGTTAAATATCCAGAAGACATCGATTCTGATTTTGAAGTTGAAAAATGTATTCCTGTGGATGAAGAAGAAAGTGAGGATGGCTCTGAGGCTAACAAATCAGCTTGGAGGAGGTCCAAGGGTAACGCACATAAGCATAAATCGATTTGTTCCGAGCTTGACGATGAAGATCTCAGTAATAAACACCAAAGAGAACACAAGGTATTTTTTCTCAGTATCTGTATAAACTAGTTAGATATGTCCTATATGTTTTACTGTTATTTGTTGGTATCAATTGTTTGTTGTTTTCATTAGGATTGGGAATTGATTGTTCCAAGCTCAAGAGCATTGACCGTGAAGATAATCAACAGCAATGATAACAGTCGTTCTACCACACCTATTGCTGACATTAAGCGTTTGTTGTCCAATGATCAATTGAAGGTGTTTAGAAATTCTGCTTTTGGTAAATTTATCGACCTACCTCATTATAAGGTTCAGAATCAACTTGTTAATTTGATTTCATTACGAGAAGTACACCAACCGAGGTTGGATGAAATGTGGTTTGACTTTGGTGGGAAGATCATGAGATTTGGGGTCGAGGAGTTCACTGTGATAAGTGGTCTGAAATGTAATGGCTTGTGTAAAAAGCTTTGTTTTCCTCCCGTTCCTGATGGTCTTTTTGACAGATATTTCGCCAATGTTGGCTTGAACCGTCACTCTATTAAATGGCTATTTCTTAACAGAGCGTGGATAAACGACCATGATGGAGTGAAACTGGCCAAGCTTCACTTGCTTGCGAATTTTCTCATGGGGGCTCAGGATAATCTTTTGTTTGATAGGCGTTTGTTAGATATTCTTGATAGCCAAGACTGTGATAACTATCTGTGGGGTAAAGAGGTGTACGACTACACCATTGATTATCTAAAGATGTCATCTCGAAACGAGGAGTCTTTCCTGAAGAAATTAGATGGCGCTGAAAAAAGAGTATATCTCTATAGGATTCGCGGGTTTATTCTATCGCTTCAGGTGTGGTTTTATGAGGTGTGTGATAGCACAGATGGAGTCATATGTACTCGTCTTCCAGTTCCTAATGTACCCCGGATGTTAAATTGGGAGGTACACATGAGTTGTGGTAGACGATTCATCGAGAGGGTTTTTTTTTTTACCATGCCATCAGATAAGGTTTTTCTTAGTCTCTTATTATAATATTTTACTATGAAGTTATCTTTTCATAATATTGCTGTAAGTTCTTTTATTTTGTAATGTGTATTGATC